TTAAGGGAGATATTATATTATAAGATCATGCCGAAAATTAACCTACTTTAAAACCCCTAAATTTTGCCAGTAATTAATGTTCAAGAAAATTGCCCATGTATGCTTTAAATAAATTTTTTAGGTTTTCATTTGCATTTGCAAAACGATGTTCACCAGTGCGCTCTTGTTATATACTCTGAAAAAAATTTCGAGAGCATTCCGATTTTATTCTTTTACCATTGCAATTTGATGGGTTTTTGACTTTTGACCCCTTTTGAACACATAGGTACTTGGAGTGTAGAAAGTGAGATTTTAATATTTATGCAGCAGCTGTGTACATCCATTAACATCAACCAAGGTTGTATGAAAAACAAATAACCCTTAATAGTTTAGTACAGCCTTTCAAGCAAGGCCACACATATCGATTGTTTAACAATCGAAAAGTTCCACACTTACAAACGCAGAAAAAATTACTTTTCTCCTCAAGATCGTAAAGTTCTGCTTTATGTTGTTCACAAACCAGTGAAAAACTGTCCAGCGCTAACGAATACGTGTTTAATTGATTCTACCGAATATATACATTAAATTTGCATAATATCTGGAGCTTTCGACGGCAATAAATATGCAAATTGCATCTAATAAAAACATCAGTTTTTGACTGATTCCGGTGAGTCAAATCCTGGCTAACTGTTTGATACTTGAAGAATAATTAAGAGGCTTTGTTTATAAAGCATTGCTGTGAAATACATCTGTGGGAGGCCATAAGAAAATATATGTAAATAAAATGTCAGTTATGTTTGAATAAGTAAATCTATTTAATATGCAATTTTTTCCACATCGTTCAATTAACACCTTCTGGAATTACACTCGTATTTGATTAACAACTTGGCAGTAAAATCGGTTTTAAGTTAATGTTGGGTTACTGTTTTGCCAGTTTGTCTCCTGTTTTATACACCGCTTTTCTGTTATGAATTAATTATGTCATTTTAAACGATTTTATTGCTAGTAGATACTTAAAGGTAAGACTCGATTGTAAACATTTGCTGTTTTTAACTATTTTACCATTGAAAGTACAGTTCGAATGCTTAACATATATCTAATAATTGGCACGTTTGCGGTAACCTACGAAAGTATGTACACTGAGCTTGGAACTGCTGCTTCATTTGAACTGTTCGACTATTTTGGTCCTTCGAACCGGATCAAAATGGTCAATTACTTGCTGATTCAAATGTAGCGGGGGAATAGAGCAGATCCACGTTACTTGTTTGATCATTTAAAGGTTCAAACCCTTTAAGCCAAAGTGGGTTGGCAAGTGTACATGTTTTTTTTCCTTAGACCTATTTACTTAAAAATCTAATTTGGAGTTTCTGTAAGACATAAATTTCTGCTCGGAGGAGCGTTTGAGCAGGAAACTTACACTCCCTAACCATAAACTACAATACAATACGGATTTCTTATTAATTATCTAGATGGGTTCAATAAGGTGTGGGCAATAATATAACTTTAGACGTCTTATTATTTTGTTGTCTACACAAGTTATAATATGTGAAAATTCATAAAATTTAATGCTAGGAACCTTAGGAACAATTTAATAAAATTAATTTCATTTTACAGAGCGGTTTCAGAATAAAAAACGTGATTATTTTTAAGATCTAATTTCTGGTAGAACATTATAAGGCCGACCAGAATCACACATTTATAAGACTTCCAGCCCACAATACTTTGTTATTAGATAATATAATAATTATAAGCTTGTACCAAAGCAATTTAGACGTCAATAAAATTATTGCCTTTGAAAAACTTTCCCCGAAAGCTAAAACGTGTAGACGTGATACGTTTATTTTGAAATAAGTTCGCTTTAATGAGGCTTACACTAAAACAGTTACGGTTCAACATCAAAATTGGGTTATTTGAAAAATTTTATGTTTTAAGTTAAACCATTAGTTAATAAATGCAATACGGATTTAATATTTGTTAACACTTTTTTCGTCCTTTTAATGTATTTTTCATTGTGCACTGTATTTTTATTATTAACAAACATTCTATCCTCATTCTGCCGTATTTTTAAGTAATTAACTGCTAATGTGAGAGAGAATCTAAGAACGGAGTAAAAGCAAGTAGAAATAAAATTCTCTATCAACTCTGGGTGTCTTGTCTGTGTCTTCAATTTTCATATAGTTTACTTGGGATTAATAAGAGCTAGACGATAATATCATCGAATTTTATCATCTAGTTTAATTAGATGTTTTAGTTTAGTTCAATTAGGTTTGGGCGATATTATGACCTATCTGTGTTTAATCCTGAGAGCAACTCAAATTTATAAAAACTGAAAAAGCTAACTGTTCAACCAAGTCGCAATAATTGATTTAAAGTAATTACAGTTAACAAAGAGATAACAGAAAAGAAAAACATTATTATTTTTAGGCTCTAATTTGCCACAGCAGAAATTATAATGCCGACAAGAATCACACATTTATCCGGCTTTATACCAACCCGCAATACTTTGTTATTAGATGATATAATAATTATGAACTCGTATCAAGGTAATTTAGACGCCAATAAAATACCTGCTTTTGAACAGCTTTCTCCAAGAGCTAAAACATTTATTCTGAAATGAATGCGTTTTAATAGGCGAATTTAAGTAAAGAAATCAGCAAAACACAAATCTGGAATGTTTTAAGTAATTCGTTAATAAATCCGATTAACTACGAAATAACAATACCGATTTTTAATTTGTTTTAAACTTTTTCAGCCTTTTTGGTTGCTCTTTTATTGCGGTCTTTATTTTTAAAATTAATAATCACTTTATCAACTTTCTGCTGTTTATCTTACATGTCTATGTAATAAAAATTTAAATATGTCAGTTAAATATTATTCATATTTTACATATTTTAGTTGAGATTAATAAAGCTGTTTCCTGATTATCACCTTTCCACTTTCTTGTGCAATTTGCACACTCTATCTTTTGGCGATTCTCGCATTTTAATTTGATTTTTTCATTAACTATGTAAAATTATGATTTTTGCAATATTTAGAGCAATGTTTAGTATTTAGAGCAAAAAGAAAATTTATAATTGAAAATTATATTTTCAACGCGTTATCCTCTAATAACGTAAACGGTTATTTCTTTACTAATGCGCATGCTCAGAATAACGGATAACGTAAAACTTGTTGCAATTAAGGGGCCCAAAAACTCCCTATAAAGTCGACAAGAATCACACATTTATAAAACCGCAAAACTGCCATGCTTTGTTATAATAAATTAGTGAGACTTAGATGGAAATAGTAAAAACACAGCCAAAAAATTGGGTCATTTTTTATAATTGCGTTTTGTAGATAATAAATTTTTTCCTTTCCTGGGTTTCAGTCAAAATGTGAAATAAAAATGTGCATATCGTTTATTTCACATAACGTCTCGGCGAGACAACAGCGCCATCATCAGATTTACAATTCAAAACAAACCCATAATTGGGCATTCACGTCACATTCAAGTCTTCAAAGCCTCACATTTGTTTTGTTTTTGTAGTAGTAGTAATTTGTAGATAATTCTTATTAAATAAATGGGTTTCTTTCTAACATTTAATAGTAGTGATCAGATATTTTATAGATGAAGTTATTTATATTAAATTAAAAATATTGTTAGAAAAATTGCGATTTGCTGCAGGAGGCAAAATTGACCGGAATGAAAAATGTTAAACAAAACATCTAACTATATTTGGTTAGTGATTAAAATACATAATTTTATTATTTCCTACTAACTTAAAATTTCTCTCAAAAAAAAGCTCTCAATCAAGTTTTAGTTAACTACCGTTTACGACATTACTTAGTTTGTTGGCGCAATTTCGGTTTTTTCATAGCAAATTTTTTACATTGCAAAAACACCTTTTTCAGGAGGCTACCCGAAGCTACTTTTAAATAAATGAACGCATAAAAATTAAATCATGATATACTTTTGAAAAACCACGTTAGACGTCTGTCCTTTCTAATAAAAATTCCAGTTTTTCTCAGCCAGCAAAAATAAGCAAATATGCATATAAAAGGTCATACGTTTTGCAATAGTCATTATTCTCTTTGAGCCGCTACAGTAAAAAATACTATTAAAATAAAGGAAGCATGAAAACGAAAAGATACATTTTACACTAAGATAATTCCATAATGTTTTATACCCACAGACGTAAATATTGACTTAGATGATTTTCCTTAAAGTGTGAACTGCTACTTTTAAAATAGTAAATTTGCCCGTTTACACAGCTCATAATATTGACTTAAAACGTACCAAAATGTTTGAATAACTAATTGATGTTTTGGGTTTTAAGTTACATTTTTATTTGCTTCTTTGTATTTTTGGAAAAAAATTTTAACTGGATTGCCCAAAGCCTAAGCCTAAAGAGGCAATCGCCCTGGGCCATCAACGTAAACTTGAAGAAATTTGCAATCTGTTTTAGTAAAAATTATTCTAATCGTTTTACGTAAACACGTTGTTCGAATCTCTCTGAATCAAAATCGACAAACCGTGTGGGAGGTTTTGAAATACCTTTCTTTGCATATTTTGACGACGATTTATGGAAAAAAGCCACTAAAGAATCGATTTATTGGCCATTGCGTAAATGAAAAGAACAGTCAGGCGCCTGTTGGTCAAAGATATTTTAAAACATTAGATAGTACCGTAGTAAATTTGAAAACAACGCCAAAAACTAGACATGTACCATGAGCTTAAAAATCAATATTTATATCGCATGTTCAACAGTTTCAACTGACGAATTATACACTATAAAATTCAGAATTCATATAACATCAATAACAATTCACTGTTTATTGGTTTGCACTGGCCCACTTTGAAAATTTCGCTTGTCCTAATGGCTATTAAATAACACACTTCGCAGTAACAAGAACGAAAAAAAAATGATCACAATTAGGAAGTACAACTGCTGAACCCACTTTACCATGGCACCGAAGAGCAAGAAGAAAGTGAACCCATCAGTGTGCGTTCTCCTTTCGGCACACTGTGGTTGCCATTAGGGGGGACAGCAATGCAAAATGTCCATTATCACTCGGTATAAAGGTACAGACTTTGAATTGGCCATCTCAGTAAATCAACAGCATTTACGTGTCCACCAACCCCCCTAAGATTGGGGTTGATTTTGTCAAAATGCAGTGGCTCTCACTACTGGTTAGTGCGATTTTTTCATTTTGGATTTTAGTGTGCATGGGTGGTTTAGTGTTCGCGGTGCCCCACGACCTGGCTTTCGTTCTGGATTATTTTATTTTTGGTGAAATTGGTTTTGCGCAAACATAACAAGGCTTCGCTTTACACAGATTATAAAACTTGCTTATTTTTGGTAATTTAATCATTATTATTAGGAACTTTTTAGCAAATATTGCAAATAAATTAACACTATAACTAACTTCATTCTATTAACACTTTATTAAAAACGTTGAATTGGGATCAGAAGTAAAATAATGCAAAAAAGCAAAATTACATTTAATATTTGTCATGGAGGCAACAAAAATTCAGTTTTATTTAAGACATATAACCTTTGCTAACTTTGAGCGTACATTTTTAAAGTATTACGTTTTTGAGCTTAATAGAAGAATTTTGTAGGCTACTTTTGCAGTAAATTTATTCAGATTTAACAGCAAATTGAATTTTAGAAAATATGCATTTATTGATCAAATAAGGAGGCGAATTTAGGTACAATTTTGTTTTGTCGGGGCTTGTGTTCTATTATAAATATTTAAACATTTTCAAYATAGAACTTAAACAGCAAAATATTGATTTTTCAAGTGAATTTAAAGACTGGCGAAACATATTCCGTTGCARTATAAATAATTCTGATTTATTTTTCTGACTGCGYGTACTGGTCATGATATTCCTATCTTTCCTGGGTCTCAGTCAAAGKGTGAAGTAAAAATTTTGAAACATCGTTTATTTCATCAAAAGAGATAGACGTTCGAGGCCATTCCTTGAAACTAATGGGTTTTTCAGGTTTTTAGGCCGTCGTTGGGTAGAATTTCCAACGACGGCCTAAAAACCCGAAAGGTTAAAGGTGTTAAAGCATGAAAAATATTCCCATAAATACAAAAATCTGTTGTTTTGTTGCTTATCTTCCTGTTTTCATCTCAATTGTAACCGTCGTAAAATAGGACCAGAACAACAATACATAATATAAAAAAACAAATAAGACAGGTATCAAAAGCTGTATTTTATGCAGATCAGATCGTTGATTTTGAACAATTTTTATATGGTTTTTACAATTTTTAATTGTTATTATTTAAACTATGAATATAAGTAATTAAAGCATGCTTACTGCATGTTATGAGCTGAACTTCTACTTAACTGCTTTCCACTTATTTCCGTTAATTATATTACATATAATGAAGCAAAAATATTTTCAGTGAAACTTCTACTAGCAGCATCCTAATTTATCGTTATGATCTACGATAGCGGGATTCCTTCTTGCAATATTTAATCAATGACTGCCTGTCTTCCAGCAGCTTTCCCTGCAATATGTTATTGTTTATATTGCAGCCGCTTATGCTAATGACTCGAAGAGAATAAATGATAATTTCTATTTCTGCTAATGGCACAAGTAGCTATGTATAATTTATGCAAGTTTATGTAATAACATTTTAATAAAAAACATGCAAAAATTAGGAAATAATTACGCCAGTAAGTTCGTTGTTTTTGAAAATGCACTTTCTATTAAAACTTTTATGAAAGACGCAAAATTCCACAGATGAGTACATCGGAAATATCACAAATATTTAAACCAATAGCTTTGATTCCTGTAATAACATATACTTCTGTGCTTATATCTCAATATTTTTTTTTAGTTGCTTAAACATTTGTTTTCTAGGTGATCGCATTCGTCTTTACAAACCCAACTCATTCAAGTCCTGTTAGTCTCTCGCGCCCAAAACGGTCCCACCATGAACCGGAAGGATACTGGAGCAAGAAGCTAGTTTGGAAAACCGAGTGGGTGAAAGTCTGGAAAACTGAGAAGAAATTGGAATGGAAACCTGATTGGAAGAAAATTCAGGTGCCAGCTTGGAAGGAAGTCCAAGTGCCAATTTGGAAGGAGATCCAGGTGCCAGACTGGAAGACCATCACCAAGCCGATTTGGGTGGAGAAGCAAGTTCCAGCTTGGAAAGAGATTCAAGTTCCCGACTGGGTAGAGAAGCAAGTGCCTGCGTGGAAGGAGATTCAAGTGCCCGATTGGAAGGAAATTCAAGTGCCAGATTGGAAGGAGATTCAAGTTCCAGATTGGAAGGAGATTCAAGTTCCCGCCTGGAAGCAAATCTGGAAGCCCGTTTGGGTAGAACACAAAGTGGCCGCCTGGAAGGAAGTGCAAGTTCCCGAATGGAAAAAGCAGTTTGTCCCTGAATGGGTCAAGGAAGGAATTCATGGAGAACATTACTTAGGCAAAGACGAGCATGGCTCAGAGTACACAGCACATGACCTGTGGAGGAAGAAACTCATATGGAAACCCGTTTGGAAGAAAGTTTGGAGAACCGATAAAAAACAAATTTGGGTCCCGCAAAAGAAAATGGAATGGAAAGCTGAGTGGGTGAAAGTCTGGAAGACGGAAAAGAAGCAAATATGGAGAACTGAGAAGAAACAAATTTGGCGAACCGAAAAGAAGCAAATCTGGAGAACGGAAAAGAAGCAAATATGGGTATCGAAGAAAGTCCAGATTTGGCGAACAGAGAAGAAGCAAATCTGGGTACCGCAAAAGCAGCTAGTATGGAAGCAGGAGAAGGTGCAAATCTGGCGAACCGAAAAGGTTCAAAAATGGGTGACGGAAAAGAAGCAAATCTGGGTAGATCAGTGGAAGAAAATCTGGGTCCCCGTGTGGAAAAGCATACAAATCCCAGCCTGGAAAAAGATCTCAGTCCCCATATGGGAAAAAGTTTGGGTAAAAGTACATCATCACTCTGGATGGGACTGATCTAAATAAGACGCGCTTCATTTCTGTATATAATACTCCTGTTCTGTCTTTCTATTATCTAGTTTTAAGTTTCTCTGTAAATATTTTCGTGTGGTTCCAAGACGGAGAGTCAATTTGCCGAAAACTACAAATCAGGAAAAAGTTTTTCGGTTTTCGCAGTAAGTCGATAGTTCTGTTGCATCCAATACAACAATCGACTCTGCCTGTTAAAAATTCCTATTCGTTGTTTAAAGTTTTAACATCAGGAAATATCTGGATTCTTCCAGCTTTGAAGCCTCAGCCATTAAAAAGGAATGATTCGCATTCAAAAAGCTTTTAGCCGAAACACTTGATTTGCCTTGTGTAATTATTGTTATCTTTGTTTAAGTATGTACAATAAAAACCTTTTTTATGAAAACGCAATTTTTTGTTTATTTTCACGTCTGATTCGGAGGAAATACAAGCTTTTTAAATATGTTATGTGATTTATGTGTTTGATTCTTCATAAACGTTGAAATCGTACCCAATTTCGACATACACTTGAAGCTTTATTGCGCGAAGTAAAGTTGGATATATTTCTGGGCAAATTCAATCAAGTTTGTCTATTATTTATAAATCATGTCTAGCAAAATGTATACTTTTGTATTAAAGTAATTTGAACGTCAGCAAAATTTAATCTTTAATAAAATGTTCAAAAATCAATTGAAGAAAATTAAGTGTTATTGATTGCTATTATTTCATTGCGGCTACCATCTGAGTTAAGGTCAGAGAAAATTATCCAACTGCTAAACTCTTCATGACAATTAACTTGGCAAACTTTCTCGACAATTAAGAAGGCTAAACATGAAAACCACTATAGTAAATCCCGCCCAATAACATGAGCAAAGGCCATTTGGGATTGCATTTTGTTTATAGGAAATCGACGTTGGTTGCACAATTTGAGAAAGTGAAGATTGCCATTTTTAGGAATTCCTTTGCAATTACAAAATGCCCAACAACGATTTGTATGAAGCATTAGAGGTTTATAGAAATAGTATCAATGGAACTCTTTAAAAGGCGAGTGTGTAGGTCAAGCTGAAAATAATTGCTCTGTTTCTCCTTTTTCGGTTTGTGGTGCCGAAAATATTTTATTTGCTAATTTTCAACAGAATTTTATAATTTCTTTTTCTGTTTCTAATCGGACATTTTAGCGCCTTATTTATAACACTCTTAATTTAAAATGCCATAGAGGATTTTCAACGAATAGTAGAAGATTTTATTTACACTTATATTAAGCCATGTTTTGCTGTATTTGAAATAAAAAAAATCAACTTCCTATACGAAACACTTCCCAGCCCTCAATACATTGGAAAATAGATTTAAATTTAAATGTGCAATTGAATGCTGCGAAACACAATAGAAAAAAATTTCAAGCAGAAACGACTTCCAGTTTTGCTTCCGCAGACGCGACAATACATGCACATATTAAAGCGGTTAGCTTTCAATAATTCTTCGAAAGTGTTAAAACCATAAAATATTTACTGCCTTAACAGTTAAAATTGATTCTTGATCTTATCGTCCGCAGAAGCCAATTTTCTACAACAAAATGCAAATAGCTCTAAGAGAAAGTTCATTTTTGCGTAAATGAATGGGTAATTGTTCCGTCAATAATCCTGCGGAAAATTTTATATACAAAACTATTGAAAAACAAAACAGTAGGCAATAAATAATAAGGATGACGAATTAGAGAACGCGACAACTTAATTTCCATTGAAGTGGGTGTTGGTGATGTTCCGAGTGAACTGAGCCGTTAAATAAGGGATAAAACAAGTACTTTTCAAACAAGTGATTAGTTTTTAGGGTCTTTTGGTCTCTTTCTTCTTCTTCTCGTAGCGTCACAGTCCTTCGTGGTTCTTAGCTGCATTTACAACGCGTCTCCATCTATACCGGTCCAACGCAACCTCCTTCCAGTCTTGTACGCCCAAGATTTTTACGTCCTCTCCCATATTGTGCCTCCTTTAGGACCTTTAGACTTCTAGACCTCCTTTTAGACCTTTAGGAAGACAACGGCTCAAATCCTTTTCCTCTTTCTGCCTCTTTCCTACTAGGTTTTCCTCCCATTTTGAAAATTTCATGCAGATACCAAATCTAAGTGGTGATTTGTTAATAAAACAGTTTTCAGTGCATACTCTGGTAGAGTCATGAAAATTTCATTCAGATGTTGAAGTTAATTTCCAAGTGTTTTTGAAAATAGGAGTTTGGTCAATTGTGATTTCTCTCTTATATTATTTCTCTGAAACCGTCTTTAGACTGTGATTAATTCCAAAGTTCTTCTATTTCGAAATAAAGGTTTTTGCAATAACTCTTGAACATTTCATCGATAAGCCGACGATATAGAAAAAAAATGAAACTTGCTTTGAGCTTTGATTAATTTCAGGATTTTTTCCCTTAATACTGAAGCCTTTAACTACGATTTCCGAAATTTCACGAACCCAACGTTCTGAATATTTAATGAAAAAAGTTTTTGAAAAAAGTACAAGTTCACTCTCATAAAAAATGCCAGGTACTGGTCCTTGCGAGACATCGGCAACAAATTCCCGAAAAACTGATGAAAAAGCAGTTTACAGCTCTAGCAGTCATTGCTTGAAACTGATTTTTGATGACTTTTTAACTGCTTCCAGTATTCATATATTTCATCAAAAATAGTTAAAAAATAACTGTTTAAGTTAATTAATTTCTACATGCTATATTTTCTTTAAAATTGCTAACAGACAGTGTTTCTTATTTAAGAGCCCATCAGCTATATAAATACCATGCGAAAAATATAGCCGTGTTGACCTCGTACCATCTTGAGTTCAGAGAAAGCGCGATGAATTGATGAAAAACAATAGAAAAAACATGATCATCTTTATTGTAAGAGAACTTGAATGGTGTGATTCGTTTTATATAACTATCAGGGGCGTATCCTAAGATTTTGCGATGAWGGCTCATCAKMATRGCGAAGTTTTTAATTGWTCTTGAGAATGAAAACTAAGCRAARTTTWGGCAAAAAACCTAWTTGTTCWTGAGGTAAATRAAATATAAGTTATATATASTYAGGTGATAAAAAAATATATTCTAGGTATATTTTATTAAGCTCTGGTTTACGCMAATTGGCYCATAAAAATTGGCAAAATAATATAATGCATTGTACACATCGATAAGTATATTTAAATGAATATCACCCTCATAAAAATTGAAAACCAGCTGCAATTTCTTTTTATGATAATGTTGTTGCATTCAATTTATGAAATCCCTAGGTATTTTATGTGTAGTGAAAGTCAACAGAATGAAACTTTGCGGATATTTGCTCATCTGAAGTATTGAAATCTGGGTATACCTACTCTTAAGTATACTCTTTTTAAATAAACCTGCGATTTTCTTACATTTTTTCCTGTACTCTATACAAATTGTTGAGGAATAAGTAATCCAATCCAAATATTGAATTGTTTAAACAAATGGTTTAATAAATACAAACTTGTATATCGTGTTGAAAAGCAATTATAGATATTAATGTAACTTTATAAAATCCGTCTAGTTGTTAAAATTTGTAAAAGATGCGACAAA